CGGGGCGCCCCAACCCCCCCCCCGCCAGCCCCGGCCACGTCTCCTTCACGCCTTTCTCAAGCCCTTCCACCATCTCCCAACTTCGTCCCTCGGCATGAATCACGCCGCTATTAACTGGTGACACCATTAGCTTGTGCTGTCACCAGAGCTGACAATTCAAAAGGCCCTCGAGAGCTGTCTGCAGAGACACAATAAATGAGATCTCTTAATTAACACCTCCCTTAACTAAATAAATTAATTTTATGCAGCCGATACATCGCGTCTTCACAGTTTGAGGGTGACTGAGTAGGCTGAAAACATCCCCCTCCGCCGAGCCGGGCGGACAGACTTTTTCCTTGACCATGTTTCTATAAACAAACCCGGACGCCCCACCCAGACCAGGGAGGGGAAGAGACCCCTCTGCAAAGAAAGAGGCGGGGGACACACATGCTTGCACCCTCAGCCAGCTGCAGAGCAAAGCAACCCACCCTCCTTTTCTTCATAGCCAGCCACGGCTACGCCAAAGCACGGACAAAAAAGCCAGGATGCTTTTGCCTCTCGAGTGAAGACTCGTGAACCCGGTCTTGCAGCGAGTGCTATAAAACCTAGGTCATAAAGATTTTACAAAAAAAAAAAAAAAAAAAAAAAAAAAGACTTTGGCACAGGAGAGTTTGCATTTCAGCCTTTAACCTCAAGGCACCTAATGGGCAAAGCAGAGCCCACAGCCCCAGCTAAGCGCCAACACCTCCCTACCTAAATATAAGCGTGGAAAAAGGCTGCACACCGAGACTTCGCATCCAGCACGTGGCTACTGATGGATCGCGGCACCCCCTCGGTTCTATAGGCACGCACCCCCTCCTCTCCAAATTCAGCTAGCCGCCTGTTCCGGGCAGGGGGCACGCACATGTGCACGCTCTCCCCGAAACACCTCGCAGAGGATAAGCTTTTCTTTCACCTTCCCCCCTCCCTTCTCTCTCCCTTTTAACCCAACAAAAGCAGGGTCCTCCCTGGGAAGAAAGGAGCCCCGGGCTCGGGTCGGTGTGCCCACAACTTGTTTTCAAATAAAGCAGCCCCTGGTAATGTGATAAAAGCCTATTCCATGGTCTTTGATGTCTGGGGGGGAGGGGGTGTAAAGAGAAAGCTTACCACCAAAAAAGACATTCTCCTCCAGGTCTGAATCACCAGTCCTTGAAGAAATGGGATAAATCCAAGGGAACAGACTCAAGGCCAAAATCAGATTGTATTATCCAGGTTACCAACAGGGTGCCCCGCAGAGACGCAGCCAAGAGTTATTTTCCTCCTCCCTCTCTTTCGCCTGGTGGAGCATGACAGAGAGAAAGATTCTTCCTTTTTTTTTTTTTTTTTTTTTAAGGAAATTAATTAGATTTTTAAAGAGGCTTGGATTTAAAATCAATTTCCCAATTAAAAAGTGTAAGGTTTCTAGTTGGTGCAGGATTTAAGCTGGGTCTGTTTGTTTGTGTTACGGGATCGATGCACAAACCCCGAGCGCCACGGCTGTCGCTATTTTGACGAGAACTTTTAAAGTAACCTTCGCGGGAACCGTTTTCCTGCTCAAAATCAGTTTAAAGGAGAGACAGCGAAAAAGATGGCACCCGGCGGCCCGTATTGAAAGGCAACGTCCCCCTCCTTCGCGGGAGCGCGGGAAATGGTCTCCGGCAGGAGACTTGGCACAGAGGGATTCTCTGATGTGTACTACGGGGCTGGTTGTCCCCCCGACAGCACCTCCTCTATGCCCAGCTCCTTCTGCTCGCCCCCGAAGGAATCTGTTCAAGGCGAGACTGCCTTATCTCCTACAAACAGAGCTTGACCGCTGCCGTATTTGCAGCAAGTGCTGTTACTCCGGGGTGATTCACAGCTAGAAGCCGGTTATGACAAAGCAGGGAGAAGCATTCTGGCTTCTTCGGTGTTTACAGCTTTTATTGCAAAAAAACCCCACCTGCACAAGCTATAAAAACAGATAAAATCTCCCAGCATAAGCCTTCTCTACTCAAGATCCCACGTCACTAATAAGTCCCTGTACACTCTGGGAATCCACCCCCGGGAGAGCAGGAGCCCTGGAAAAAGCTGTAAGGTTTGCCTCCAGTTCAATCTGGGCAGTGATCCTGGCTTAGGGGAGCCCTAGAGACGACCTTACTGCTGACAGCACAGCGCATTGCTGTGTTGAACAGGGTCACGCATCAAGTTGGATCAATGCTTCCATCATCCCGGCGTGGCGGGCACGCCAGCAGCCACGAACGTGCACTTGCAGCAAAGCAGCTCTCCCACATCAAGACCAAGCAACGGCGAAGGGGAGAAGGAAGAAAAGCAGGTTAAAAAAAAATTTTATAATCCTTTTCGTGTACCAGTGGAGTTACTCTCACACCCAGAGCACAGGAAGCTCATTCATGGTGGTGTTTTTGCTTGCTTCCAAGACTTTGGGAAGATTTTGTCCCCTGCCACCGCAACTTAAGGTAAATCATGGAATTGTTTAGGTTGGAAAAGAGCTTTAAGATCATCAAGCCCAACCGCTAACCTAACACTGCCATCCCACTACTAAACCATGGCCCTAACCGTGTCAACTACGGCCCTAACCGTGTCAACCCAAATGGTAGATGCTGGCCAGTGAAGCCAACAGTATTCAACAGTGTGACATTCATTTGAGCACATTGCTGCAGCGCCTGAGATTTACTGTTACACAAAGATGCTGGTTGCTTCCCCCGGAAAGGGGCTGGGCCGTGGGGAACTGCCCACTTGGGTCAAACACCAGTGTGGAGGTACCTGAGCCATTAAGAGAGGAAGGTGTGGGGAACGGAGATGTTTGAAGAGCAGCAAGGTGAAGGCATGAGTTGAAGAAGAGTTGGTACAGGAAAGGTGGGAGATGGACGAGGGCCAAAGACAACTTGGGGGAAGGAAAGGGATTGGAGTGAGCAGCAGCAAGCAGTGCTGAGGTTGCTGCGGGAGCCCGAGGGCAAGGAGATGTTAGAAAGCCATCACAACGAAGTAAGGTTGTTGGAGGAGGGAGTGCCGGGGGTTGGCATCCGAATGAAATGAGACTGCATGCAGCCAGCCTCAAAGTCTTTTAGGGTTTCTCAGAGCCCTGGCGCCACCAGAGAGGATTTGACGAGCTGAAAACAACCCTCACCTTGTATTTAGAAAAGTGTCTATCTCCTACAGCTGAAGAGGGAAGAGAAGAGGAGGGGGGGAAAGTGTAAATGCCCCATACGAATTGCAAGGGAAGGAAGGAATCAGGAGACATGCAACAGAACCCCAGGCTTGAATCACATCTATCAATGGAAATAAAATGAGTTTGCCTGTAATTGCCTCCTTCCTACATGTACATCCAGCACATCCTTTGGTCTTTCTCACTCAAAGGCCCCTTAATCCTAGCTGACCCATTCCACCAAAGCTTGAGAAGACAATGAGGCTCCCCAGGACACACGGTTCCTACCAGCTTTCATGAAAATCTACATCTACACCAGCAGAGACACACAGACGGGTGCAGACCTGGAGACGGACACCAGCGAAGCTGCGACAGGGTATCTAGAGGCACTGGAGGTGGTCAGACAGACCATCAGAGTGTGGTACAAGACAGACAGGGGTATGGAGAAAACCAGGGGGTCCTTCCCTCCTCGCTACTCCTGCTGCTCACAGCCCAGCTCACATTCTTCCCCTTGCCTCTCTCAAAAGAAGTCATCCCCTCGTTTTCTCATCTTCTGGAGTGAAGGGCTTGGTTTGGTCCCACCTAAATCCCAGGGCAAGAAGCCACGCTCAGCCCAACTGCCAGCTCAGGCCAGACCAGGGGGCACGCCAAGGTGTTGGGCCCCCCAGCCCTATCGACATGGCGCCGCTTGCCCCCTCCACCCTCAAGGAAAGGCATCGCCTTCATTTGAGGGTGTGCAGAGCATAAGCCCATTTGCTGCCCCACCACCACCCTCTCCCCCAAAGTTGTTATCGGGTATCAGCCTTTCTGGCTGCTTGAGGACTAGAAGCTCACAAATTCTTTTTTTCTTTTTTTTTTTTGAAAGACAATTTGAAAATTTGAAAAAGCAATTTGAAAACAAACCAACCCCATTTGCACAGCAGCAATTTCTCATTGCGCAAACATTGCTTCTACGTTAAAACCGTACCCCTTTTTCTGTGGCAAAAATATTAAGGTTCTACTGTCCCAGGTTAAAAAAAGAATTAACAGAGTACTTAATCTGATGTTAACTTCAGAGCTGTCACCTGGAATCTTGGATTTTTAAAAATCTGTTTAATTAAGTGGCAGGATATTAGGGCTTGGGCCTAATCATGTCCTTTGGTTTCAACCTACAGATACTTTCGGTTATTCTTTGGATGCTGACCGTATACATGAAATGGTTTTAGTGTGTTTTTGTCATTGGAAAACACATTTTTAAAACACCTATTTACCATATAGCAGAGCAGTTGCTGGTCTTTTGCATTCTTTTAATCCTTGTGCAAGTTAAAATTACTAAAGACACCTACTCAAAATAAACATTAGCGATTCACTAAGGAAGTGATCCACTGGATTTCCTTTTTCAAGATGTTTTATCTTTTTTGAGTGGCGTTGCCCCATGCTATGCTCATTTTATCAGTTACTGCTTTAGAAGACTTAACACAACAAAGATTTTTTTTCCACGTTTTGGATATTCGCAGAGTTGAATTTTTCCTGTTGGGCTTTGGGCTGCTCAGAACAAGACGGGGTTGGACCAGAGGAGCTCCAGGGCTCTTCCAACCTAAGTTACTCCATGATTTTTTTTTTTTTTTAAATAATTTTGGAAACCTAATTTTTGGTTCCCTGCTGCCTTCATGGACACACCTAAGCCACAAATTGCAGTTCCAATGACATATCATTCATCCAAGGCCTGAGAGGGAGCAAAGAAATGGTTTGCTCGCTCCACAAACAAGCACAGGAAAGCCAA